CCCACTACTCGGGGTGAGCAGGAGTGGTGGGCTTGGAGGGCTCCTCAGGGTAAGCAGGCTTGGTGGGGTGCTCGGGCTGAGCAGGCTTGGTGGGGTGCTCAGGCTGCTCGGGGTAGGCGGGCTTGGTGGGAACGTGCTCAGGCTCCTCGGGCTTGTTGCCAGTCTCAGTGGCGTGGGGAGGGTGGGGGTAGACCTCGGTGGGGGTGACCTCGCAGACGGTCGTGGAGACGGCAATGGTCTCGGTGATGACCTTGGTGGAGTCGGCGGGGCACTTGGGGACGGTAGGAGGGCAGCTGGTGACGGTGTGCTCGCGGGTCTCGTAGATGGTGGAGGTGGTCAGGGGGACAACCGACGAGGTGATGACAGTCGAGTGCGCGGGGTAGTCGGTGACGGTGTCGGGGCAGTCGGTGACGGTGAAGTACTTGGTGGAGTACTCAGTCTCGAGAGGAGCGGGAGCAGAGACCGACTCGTAGGCGGGAGCCGAGGAGACGACGGCGGGGGCCGAAGAGACGGCGGGAGCCTCGTAAGGGGCAGAGACGGCGGGGGCCTCGTAGTAGCTGGCGACGGCAAGGCCGGCGAAGGCAACGGCGGGGGCGGCGAAACGCATTTTGATGGTATTGGTGGGGGGGTTTCGTGAGACGAAAGGGTGGTTGTTATTAAGAACGAATGTGGTAAGCTGGAAGCTTGATTAAAGAATGGACGACCGAAGTCAAGTTGAGTCAAAAAGCGGAAGCTTGAGTTTGATTGGGCTGGATTGGCTGAAGAGAGAGGAAAAGAAGAAGAAGAGGCATCGGAGAGGAGGGCTGCGCTTTAATAGCCAGCTCACTCCATTGCTCTCTACCAGCAAGTCTCGCTCTCTCCGCCTCGCCGCCGTTGGGCGGGGCTTGTTGCCGTCGCGGTTTGTCTGCCGCCACCCTCGCGTTTCTGCAGTGAGGACCAGCGGGAAATTACACCGCGCCTGGCGACCTCCATGCTCTTTGACGCTAATCCAGGGGTTTGGTGGAGGTGAGATGGCACCTCAGCAAATTGATGCCCGCCATGCTTGAACCCACAGCCCACGCCGCCGAGGGGGAACAGGGATAGACAGGGGCGGACAAGGGGCACAAGGGGTGACACCCCGGCAAGTGGAGGGACCAGAACGAGCCAGGGGTGGAGGAGCAGCTAGGCCAAGTCGATCTCTCCGTTCTGGTTCCTGGCTAGTCGGGCAAGACGGAATTGAGGGAGGGGGAAAGACACTGCCTCAGTGAAAGCGGCGGTTCTCGTCCTTTCGTCCTCATTGGGCCAAGGGTTTGCTGTTTGTCCTCTGAGGCGCTTAACGTGGAGGGCGACCATCGACGTTGGTCGTCCCCCATTGGCGTCGATTCGTGTACGGTCATCGCTGGGTGATTGGGCTCTGGTTATTGATCATCTCGCGACTCGAAATTGACCAGCTGCCCCTACACTGCCACTGGCCAGACAAGGTGACCCCGTTCGGGAGCCGGCCAGCGGTCTGGAGTCGGCGTAGAACGGACTCAGGCCTGACCGCCAAAGGGCCAGACAGGTATCTGCACCGGCTCTGCAGGCTCTACGAGGTCATGATGGGACGAAGCTCGGGCTTCAGGGGAGCCTTGCAAGCCTGGGAAGGTCGTTGTGAGGCAAATTGGGACGAGTCAAGGACGGCTAGAAGGGGTATGACCGCTGATGTTGATCGTCCCAGGACGCTACCTCGACCTTCCCTTTCGATTGTCTGGGGCGATTGGGTGCCGTCCACTGCACCGTCGTGCTAGCGGCCAGCCCGGGCTTGTTTTGCGACCTGGGGGCGCGACCCGTTGGTCATGCATAAAAAAGCCGGCCCGGATGAGAGGTGAGTGGCCTGCATAAGGCCGCCCGCCATGTGTTGCTGCGAGCAAGAGGAGGCCTGGCACGGCTGGTGATGACCAGGCCCGAGGC